ATATTTAGATATAAAAAAATCAAACAATTTTAATGGAAACAATATGATTTGAATATTTTTATTAAAATGTCTAGCTATAAATTTAAATTTTGAGTTAGCAACACTGTCAGCTAGTTGTAGTTAATCAGTCTGCTTTGTGCAGTTGTTGTGTGTTCTTGATTTTTCACTCTATTTTCAAAAACTGAAGTTCTAGTGGCTCCAACAAAGTGCAATGAAGAAAAACAGCAGTAAAGGAAAGCTGTTAGAACAATACAGATAAAAAAAGATTTTTGCTAAGTCTGAAAATGAACCAAGTAGAGAGGTTGCAGCCGAAGTTTTTATCTCTAAAACGTGAACGTTGAGCACTGCCATCTTGAAAGCCTAGAAATTTGATAATGGCGTTTGGAACATCATTGGAATAATGCTCGACATTCCAAATGCCATTATCAAACTTCTAGGCTTACAAGATGTTGATATTCAACATTCAATGTTCATGTTTTAGAGATGAAAACTTTGGCCGTAACCTCTCTAAAGTTTCCAACTTTGTCAAAGAATTTAATATACCGAAATCATAATTGAAATTACCTAATGTTTTAATTGATGGTTTGTCTTCTAAACAAGAATAATAATAACTCTTCGTCCCCTTCTACCACTTTACTGTATTTATTTAGTACAATAAAGTTTTACAAACAGCAAAATTTTTATTTTTTTCTTTTATCTTTTTTTAGGATGGGAAGAGATTAATTGAATATCAGTTATTATGAGAAAATTGGTTCTATATTCATCATTTTCTATATTCGTTAGATCCTTAGAAACAGATTAATGACAAATATAGAGGCTCCGCTGTATTTTCAATATTTCAATTCTGACATTGGATGACCAAGCAGTCAAGGTGGCAGCCCATTGCTCTGAGGACCCAGGACTGAATTTGGACAGGTTGACAGCCCAGGAAATTTTCAGGTGCTGGTATGTCCAGATATGTAGGCCCCCATTCTTCATCTGGCTGAACCTATAATAGGCTTGCTAAAAGGCCCTCTTAGTGCCCACATGATAAAGAGAGTTAAAAGACATATTTAAGAATATTACACAATTTTAAATGACTAATAAATACAAAAGTAAACTTTGTGAATGACATTATGACTGATTCTATTAAATTTCCTCACATCCAAAATATTTAAGTATGCTACAAAGTGCACTGAAAGACACAGCAATGTTGTTAGCACTAGTCAACAGAGACGAAAACACACTAGACCATTAGCAAATGGCAGGGCTAATGTTCACAATACTTCAATAGCATGTAGGTCCATTGCTGCTTTTAAAAAAGGCAACACCATGATTGATGAATGTATGAAGGATGACAGCAACATTCTTCAATTGAAAGCATGATGTTTCAATAATAAAAATAGTAATTATCTTGTTCTTTTATAATTAAAACAATTGAAAAGTAACATAAATGGAATAAATTAGTTTAATAATACACAATATCTTCCTTGTTGTCATCAGATATAGCTGTATCACCCTTCTTGAAATGGTCCTTTGATTTTCTTTCAAGCTTTTCAATGAAGTTAAGAATTATGAATGACATTTCTAATAATTTAAAACAGTTTGAAATTACTGTGTGGAGATAACAGTCTTTAGTAATCATAACCATGTGTGGTTATAAAGGATTGATTAGTTGTTCAATCCAGCACACTCTTTCTAAATAACAGCTCACACCCCATGCAAACTGTAAATACAAAAATTAGTTGTAATGATAATTTTAAATGAGTAGCTCATTTTACGTTAGACCTGATTACCAGGTCCAACCTGATACTTTAATGGAGATTATTCACTTTTGTTGTGGGGAGTTGATTAACTGGTTTTGAAATAAAATTCCTTCTAAAAAAATAGAAAATCTGCATTCAAGTTCATTTTTTAAAACATCCTTTATGTATTTTCTTTGTTAAATAAAATTTGTAATCTAATTTTGTAAATTTGGGAGTGCTTCAAATATGACGTTAAAACAGGGTTTTATGTTGTTACAAGTGGTTTTTTTAACGCTATCTATTATAGTAAAATTGTGGGACTGATAAAAATTTGACATTATATTAGGGTTGTTGTTACATCTGTTGACGTTATAATCAGGTTAAACTGTATTAAAATTTATTCTAAATTTGATATTTTTATGAAATACTGCTTAATAATGTTGTAATATTGTGAATATCACAATTTAAAAAACTAATAGTAGTATAAAGTATTAATAAATGTTATAATAAATTAAACTTTTAAACGAAGTACAAATAATTAAAATAAGTACTAACTTGGTTTGAGAATTCGGTTTAAAATCTGTATTATTCAGTTCTTCAGATGTTTTTTGTCCATCAGATTCTAAAAAAAATAATGTTGATAAAAATGAAAACTAAAAATTCAAAAATCAATTTTATTTTATAATTAATTTTTAAAGTATTTATTATAATAATACATAGATGATTAATTGCATTTCCTGAACAATTTCTGGATAGTTTAGCAAAATTTCTAAATAAAATTCATTTAAAAATCTTTTTAATATTTTTAAATAAAATTCCAGATGTTCTACTTGCTGAAAATATGTTAAATCCTCTCTTTTCAAACAATAATCTAAAGTGTATTATGCATAGGCTTAATTATGCATATAAAAACATTAAAATGGTTTAATGGAGTTAACAAACTATTAAATAAATACATAAAAAGCCATTTCAAGCACTTTCAAATTACTGTTACTGTTACTTCATAAATTGTCAATATTTTTCCTCCCGTTGCCAATGCTTAATTTTTTTATTTTCTCGTCTTACATGCTTTCTGCTCTCATATACCATGGCAGTCATATTGGATTCATCATCATAATAGAGTTTGATGTCTGAAATGGAATTTTTGTTCTTTTGTTTTTTATTATGTTTTATTATTACAGTATTATGTGAGGTCATGTTATTTCCTGTCACAGCCCGATATCAAAACAGGTAGTGTCCAAATTTAAACCGAACCCAAAATAAAAGACCAAAACTGGGTGGAGTGAATGGAAAGGTCATGAATATGGGTGCATGGTTGTTACATTGAAGGCTGACTTATATATTTGCATAATAAAAATAATTTATTGAGTAAGAAACATTCTCATTCCGTACAATATTTGGTTATAACCATATAAATTTTACTAATAATTTGTTCAAAACATCTCATAAAAGTTTATAAATCTTGTCACTATCCTTGTAAATGAATAAATGACTGCTAATTTCAGGAAGCCAACTTTTATTAATTAGAGGTTGCAGCTTACAAGATAACAGCGCTCGACATTCTATTCACATTTTAGAGATGAAAACTTTGGACGCAACCTCACTATTAAAAAAAACATTTTCAGTTAAGATCCGACTCTCCTCAGCTAAGAATCTTAATATTGAACAGTTTAGAATAATGTGGCATAGAATATACAGAACAGAACTCTGCCTTGGATAATATCCATGCCAATTCCAATCTTGGAAAAAGCAGGAGAGCTAGTGCCAGAAAGGGCATCTGATCATAAAACTTGCCAGAAGTACCTCAATCATGAACCAGAAATCCAAGGAACAGAGAATGCTAAGGCATACCCCAAAGTAAGCAATGTACAGTACAGTTACCTCATAGTGGTGAGAGATTATGGCAGAATTTATGGCAACAACAGCAATGAATAAAGAAGTGGATCAAAAGATGAGCATGGCACCACTCTAAATGTGAAAAGAATGACAAATAGGAAGAGAAGTTGCTGACATGATGGAAAAGAGATGAGTGGATGTACTGTGTGACCAGGAGACAAGATGGAAAGTGATAAAGCAAGAAAGTTTGGAAAGGAATCATTTTTAGTAGTACCAACAAAAAAGGAAGAAATGGAATAGAAATCATCCTGTCTAGAGATATGAATAGTCATATTCAGTTTCATATTCTCTGAAGTGACCAACTAATGCAAATCAACTTGACATATGAACTGATCATATTAATCACAATTCCTATGTCGCATAAGTAATATGAACAAAAGAAGAAAAGGAAACTTTCTGGACCTTGCTGGATGAAGAAATATAAATGATAGAGGAATATGAAAGAATATTTATTGGCAGAAAGTCAAAATAAAGAAATGGAAATAATACATAGAGGATATGGCCTTGGAGCCTTCTTTATTTCTCCTACATAACTAACAGACTGTCAGATTACAAATGATCTAGTCAAACTCTGGACTGAATAATATATATCTAATACTCAATACAGTAGAGCATCGATTATCTGAATATCAATCAACCAAAACATCGGTTAACCAAAAGCGTTCCTGTCAGCAAATTTAAATTTTCACTAGTGCTGTGGCACTGCAATATTTGGCTATGTCTTGGGCTACTCCAATATTATTTTTGTTGATGTGCATGTTTTAGCTGGCAGCACTGGTGCAACCATGAGAGGGTAGGTATTTAAGGACGCGCCAGGATTTGAACAAATTTCAACATGGGATAGGTTAATATATTTTTTCGTATATAATCGGTTATCTGAAAAACCGATTATCCGAACAACTCTAGTCCTGAATTGTTTCGGATAATTGATGCTCTACTGTAGTTCATTCAGTGAATAAACCCAGATGATGAAATATAATCAAACTTGAAAGAAAAAATTAGTCCAGAATATGTTTTCTTTTTTAATGAATCTAAAATTCTAGTTGAATGGTTATCTTATATTGCTGTACAAGGTGTGATCAAAAAGTATCCAACCTGAGGTCAGAAAAAATTCCTGCATATCTATTTGGTTCAAACACTACTTCCCATCAAAATAGGCCCCTTCTAAGTTCACACACTCCCAGCAATGCTTCCACTGTTGGTAGCATTGTGGCAGTATGCCATATTGTCTGTTTTTGTCCTTTTGTTCTTTGTTCACTTTTTCCTGTTCTTTGTTCTTTCTACCTTCTGAAACTTTATGATCTTCTTAATTCTTCTTTCTTGGAGGTGAGGGCCACTTCCTAGAATTCACTAACATAGTATGCAAGGTTACCCAAGGGTATACAAAAAAAGGGAAGGTAATTTTTTTGGATTGGTGCTCGAAGAGAGAAGACCACGAAAGGAGAGACATTAAACAACCACTATACAAGTAAACTGGAACTATATATGAACAGAATAACAGCTAAACACAGATTTCCAGCAAATAATTAATGATACACAAATATTTAATGTTCAAACATTTTCAGCCACAATTTTATTGGCTCTCTTCTGGAACGAATATGAATGAAACCGTTCTATAGATCAACTATAGCTGCATTCTACAGACATTACAGTGTTCAGTGGCTGAGAGAAGGGTGAGGCCAGAACTTCGAATGGGAACTTTGAAATTTCCAGGCCAAAGTTATTGTATTAGAGCCAACATTTCAGCTTGAAGAGTCCAAATGTGCAACCGACTTTTAGGATAAAATATAAAAAAAATCCTCAAGAACTGATGGAAAAGAAGATGGTAGCAAGTATTTTGCATTTAAGCTCAGACATGGTCCTCATAGTAACTAAAAGATCCACATATTCTTTCCTATCCTATCTGCCATCTTCACTACTTCTTGCCCCCTATTTTAAATTTTCTTTTATTAGAGTAAGTGTAGTATTAAGGGTTAGTTTTAGGACAATTATTCTTGTTTATAGTATTGAATTATTGTGATCGCAATTTGGTGTGATGTAGCAATTTTATTTTTGTAATTGTTCCATCAATGATCAGGTTTAGGGTTATTGCTAGAGTAACCATCCTCAAGTTGACATCTTTTACTTAACCTCTACATAGTTATAACACAAAAATAAATTGAGTTTTTAATAGCTACTGCATGTGTTTCTTTTTCTTGGATGTTTTCCTTAGTGGGCTAACAAAAACCCTTTCATATCTCACAGATTTGTTCAGTCATTTATTAGGATCTCCATGACATGTCATCAAGTTAGTCTTGATTGTCTTTGCATCCTGAAATTTCTTTCCTTTGAGTGGCATATTGATTTTGGGAAAGAGCCAAAGGTTGGCTGAAGCCATGTCTGGGGAGTATAAAAAACTGAACCTGTGCAATACCGTTTTACATGGAATGGCTGAATGAGATATGATCTGTGGGCTGGAGCATTGTCATGATAAATGAGTCAGTCACCAGACTGCCAGAGCTATGGTCTCTTGCACCTAACTGCATCTCAAAGGTGACATAAAACAGTCAGGTAGCTTCTTTGTCACAGTTTCTCATGAGGGACATACTTATGATAAACTATGTCCTGGCAGTTGAAAAAATGGTCAACATGACTTTCACACTGATTCATGATTGTTGTGCCTTCTTTGGTGTGGAGACCATGGCATTTTCTACTGGGATAATTGTGCCTTTGTCTCAGGGTCATAGGGCCATACTTATAGATCCAGATCTAACCTCTGGTTATAATCTTCATGAAATTAGGATCTGTCATGTTTCACCAAATCACTAATATGACAATAACAGAATGACGTTTTAAAAATTTGGGGGATTGTAGAGGATGAAATTTTGAACATTTTGTTATAAGGAACCTACAGCCGGAAATGTGATATAAAGTTTCTACAGCAGTAGGAAATGCTTGGCTGCCCTTCACTTTGGTAGCTAACCTTCCATCCATTGACATCATGTTATTGTTCTTGACTTCTTCCTCTGGGGTTATGTAAAGTCTCTTGTGTACGCAACACCTGTAGGAACAGTTCATGAGCTTATGGAGTGCATCTTTACAGCATTTAATACAATCAGAGGGGAGCATGGCATCTTACAGAGAGTTGGACAGAACACGGTTTGTCGTTGCACATTATGTAATGAAGCTGGTGGTCGTCACATTGAACATTTACTCTAAAGTACTGCAGCCACTGATTTGATGTACAGTTTGATTGAACTCTACTGTTTTGTCAATAAAACTTGTCATAAATACTGTATTCTGCTGTTTCATTCAGCATACTGACTGCAAAGTGCAAAATGCTGTAGAAACTTTATATCACATTTCTGGCTTTGGATTCCTTATATCAAAACGTTTAAATTTCATCCTCTACAATCCCCCAAATTTTTAAAACGTCATTCTGATACACCCTGTATACATGCAACTAACAATGACTGCATGACAGTGATTG